CCCCAAGCCGCCTCCCTCCCTCGGCTCCGCGGCCGGCATTAAGGCGCGTGAGGTCTCTGGAGGGTGCGAGGCGAAAAGGTGCAAATACCAGGCTACAAAAAAAAAAAAAAGACGGGAGCCGGGGAAACTTGATTTTCCGGCCTTTCCCAGCTATACGGCGAAGGGTTTCGCTGCAACCCCTCAAGACGTGAGGGGAGGTGAAGGATGCTGCTTGGAGGAGAAAGGTCGGGGCCGGGTGTGTGTGTGACACGGAGGCTTGTCTGATGGGGTCTGGAGTTCTTCGCTTTCCGCACAGACCGGCGAGCGAGCGAGCGAGTGAGCAAGCTGTTTCAGAAGCGGGCGGGCGAGCGTGCATTCGCTCCCGCCCCACGTGAATACGAGGTTGGATTAAAATGTAGGCGCGCCAGCATAAGGAGCACACAGCGCGCGTTGAGGGGGCAACCGCGGGCAAAGAGGGCTGGGAAAGAAACGCCTTGCAAGCCGGAGACTCCAGAGACAGCAGGGGTCGCGAACGGTTGCCGAGATAGGCGGTCGCCGGTTTACAGTTGGCCATGGGACCGGGCGGGAAGCTCGGGGTGAGGTGGGGGGAATGGACGGAGGCCGTAGTCCCCTTCTGACAGCCGGGGACGTCCATGACTGAGGAAGCAGAGGGACTCACCACAAGGTGTGCCGAGTGCCGCCCGAGACTCCCATCGCGCCGGGACTAAACCGTCTTCATTCTCGTGCAGGGGAGGCTGTTTTCGCCGAACGCGCGTTTCGGCATCTCTCTCAGCCGATGCCTATATCACGTCCGGATTTGGCTCCCGGGCTGTGCCTTTTCCGTCGGCGGGGCTGCGAGGGTTTTGCAAAAGTTGCCTTTTGCACCTCTTCCTCCTCCCCCGGCCTCCCGGGCTGCTTTCCACCATGTGCGCCAACGTCGTTTACGAATGGTTGAAGACCCTGAAACTCACCCAGTATGCCGAGTCTTTTGTGGATAATGGCTATGACGACCTGGAGGTGTGCAAGCAAATCGGGGAGCCGGACCTGGATGCTATTGGGGTGTCGCTGCCCCAGCACAGGCGGCGTCTCCACGAAGCGGTGCGGAGGCTGAAGGAGGAAGACGAGACCACCGCCGGCCTCTACTTCACCTTGGAGCCGCAGCCCCCTCGCCGGGGTTCGCCGGGATCTGATAGCTACACCGGCCGCCTGTTGGAGCCGCGCGAAGCCAAGACGTGGAAGGACCCACCTCGGCAGACGCCCCCGCTGGGTCACTCTTGGGGGGCGTCGCGGAAAATGGAACTCAACTCCAAGGAGTTGATCACTTACCCCAAACTCAGACTGAAAATAATGATTAGGGATAAACTCATCCGGGACGGCATCACTCTCAGCAAGCCCCCTTATTCCAGCAAGGTAAGGTAACTGTGCCTTAAAAATCCTGTTGGCGTTGCTGGTTTTTCTCGCCGTCGTTGCTACTGTTGTCCCTTAACTCTTCTGTTTGGCTGGAGAACGCGCTGCAGAGTGAACTTTTTTTCGCTTTTCTCGCCAACTTGAGTTGCTCTTAAGTTTGTTTGTAGGTAAGCAGTGGGGTTTGCTTTGGTGTAGGAGAAGTCGTTTTCTCCTGTGTGGCGTTGAAAGAGTGATTGTGCATTCCAGTTTCAGCAGAATCCATTTCTGATGTGAAAATGGTTAAGAATGATGAATACAGGTGGACATAGTAGGTCTTATAATGGCTCAGTTCAGCTTCATTGTCTTGCACTTCCCTTGGAATATTTGTGGAAGAAGATGGCAATATGATGAAGCCAGTAATATTTCTTAGTACTTCCATTTGATTCTTGAGGGTGAAAAGTATTACAGAGTTATCTGAAGTGGAAATGTATTTATTTGTTGAGGTGTGTGAAAGTAACTGGCACAATCCATAAAGACATATTGACTTAGAAAAAAGTTAAATAATGCTTATTTCTTTACAGTTACTCTTGAACTGGGAGCTTGCATCCAGTTTCTGTACATGCTTATTCACAAGTAAGTGGCACTGCAATGAAAGTGATTGCCAAGAAAGCACAGGTATCCCTCAAGTTTGTTCTTTTATGGACAAAGCACCTGTGTTAAGTGATCTAAATGAGGCACTGTATCTACTGACAATCAGTGTCAAGCTCTGAAGATTTTAAAGGAAGTGTCAAGTATTTGCAAGTCTTTTTATTTTTTACCGAATTCAATAATTGCCTTGATTTCTTAGACATTTTTAAAATCATGATTATGTACAAGGAGCAGACAATTACAGAAGTTTAATAAACTCAGTAGCACCAAGTGAGAACTTCAGGTTAATTCATTTTCACGGCAAAATTGGTTTGTGTGAGTGACAGGTAAAATCATTATCACAAACTTGCATATCTAATGTAAATCTATAATATTATAAGCTTCTCACAGATGGGCATTGTACTCCCAAAACATATATTTCACAGATGTCATGGATAATGGATATGACTAGCTAGCATACAGGAAAAAAACAGTTCTAAATGCAAATAAATGAATGAATGCAAGTGAAAATCTGAAGGAAGAAACATAATGTCACTCTGTCAAAAGAGGTATGCTGTGCTATAAACTGATATGAAATGAAATGGTGTTAAGGAAGAGCTGTGTTAGTTGTGAAATGTATGTCAGAATACTTTAGAAATAATTGTAAAAAAATATGCACAGACACACATATATAGAGCTCAGCCATGCGATCTATAGGAATATAGTACGAGTACAACTGAGAATATTGTATACTACTATATTAAAAAATGAATAAAATATTTCCTTTCCTCCTAGTTTTAGACAGATCATAGCAACTCTCTGACAAGCCAAAGAGTAATAACAACCCATATTCAGGGTACCAGATGTCTAATATGAATTGGCAAATAATGGTGTGTAAACTCTCATATCCACTGTAAATGATTCATTTTCTGAAGCAATTTGCCCGTGGTGTTAGTCATAGAACTTTTTTATGGATCTGTTTGCAACCTAGGACAGAAATAGAAAAGCTGTTCCTCTATTGATAATTTAGTCTGACATTATTTTGAGAGGCACAAACGTAAAACATAAGCCTTGATAATACCTTATATTTTCCTATGGAGAATAGTTAAAAATTAGATGCTCTGTCCCAACTTTGGCAAGGAGTTATTATAATGCTGATTCTGATGAATAATATAAAGAATAATTGGCTTATATCTAACACATTTCAGACTACTGAAATTAAAATAGCTAAATGTCCTTAGTTATTTAATTATGTTCCATAGTATTTCTCATTTCTGTATTTAATATGTCTAATAATTGAAAAAACATTCATTTATCACTTTCTTATGTAGTCAACTATTTAATTTTTATCCTGCCTTTATTACTTTATAAATAACTCAAACATTCCTAATACTTCTTTAATGAAAACTATCCCAGAATTAGTAAGAATATAAAATCATCAATTAAAAACATTTTTAAAAGTGATAGAAGAAAAAACTCACATTATAAATTTGAGCGTAATGGTTACAGTGGGCCATTAATCAGTCATCAGCATGTCAACAAAGCACGTAAATCTTAACCATTCAACGCTTAACCAAGCGCTGAATGAAAATCAAGTTAGTGATTAGTCAAGTTAATATTAATGTGAATGATGTAAATGCTAAAGCTGTTGCACAGAGATATTTGTACCCAGACGACACACTGTTTAAGGAAAATTGAAATGTTTATATGCTGAAAAATAAAAAATAAAACTTTTTATAAAAAAAAGAAAAAGAAAATCAAGTTAGTGCTTGGCACACTCTGTTTCAGATGCCAACACACAGTGGTACTATCTCAAATCACTACCAGATGTTCCAACCAGCATTAGGACAAGTTGGGATTTCCACTCCCCAGTTCTGCCACCAGGTATATAACAGCACAGACAGGTCAGATTTCCACGTCCTAAGGCTGAAATGACTTACATGAGAAATAGCTGTTGTATAAATGTGGAACTGATATTGATCTTCAGAGCTTGGCTAGGAATCCATTGATTTGAAAAGACATGAGAAAAGAGGACTTAAACCCCTGGGCCTGTGTGCGCCCCCCTCCCCTCAAACACACACAGAGAGTATGAGATTGTTGAATATATGTATAGAGTATGTTTGGAAAGGAGTTTCAACTTGGCATGCGTTAGACAGAGACACAGACTGATTTTGTGACTGTAATCAAAATCATTCCTGGTGCTCTGATTCCAGTGAAATGCCTACCGTATTTTTCGGAGTATAAGACGCACCAAGGTTTTCAAGAGGCAAATTAAAAAAAAAAGTAGGTAGGTAGATAGAGGGAGAGAAAGAGAGAGAAATACAGTAGGTAGGTAGGGAGAGAAAGAGAGAAAGTAGATAAAGGGGGAGAGAGAGAGAGAGAGAGAGAGAGAAATACATTAGGTAGGTAGATAGAGGGAGAGAAAGAGAGAGAAATACAGTAGGTAGGTAGGGAGAGAAAGAGAGAAAGTAGATAAAGGGAGAGAGAGAGAGAGAGAGAGAGAGAGAAATACATTAGGTAGGTAGATAGGGAGAGAGAGTGTGTGTAGGTAGGGAGGTAGAGGGATAGAGAGAGAAATAGAAAGAGAGAGAAATACAGTAGATAGGTAGGGAGAGAGAGACAAAGAATAGGTAGGTTGGTAGGTAGATAGAGGGGAGGAGAGAGAAGTACAGTAGAAAGGTAGGGAGAGAGAGAGAGAGAGAGAGTAGGTAGGTAGGTAGAAAGAGGGGGGGGGGAGATACGGTAGGTAGGGTAGGGAGAGAGAGAGACAGTAGGTAGGCAGGTAGATGTTTCCAAGTCTATTTATCCATGTGCTGGAGAAGGAAATTGCTGACAATCTGCAGCACCTAACACTTTGTTTCTGCTGGCACAGAATGTAATTCTCATCAATCAGTTAAAGAGCTTTCCAAAAGGGAATTTTTTTTTACTACTTTTCTTGCCACAGTTAGCTGAATCACTGCAGTTGATAAATTAATAACCTGGTTGTTAAATGGTTTTCCCATTGACTTTGCTTGTCAGAAGGTGATCATATGATCCCAGGACACAGCAAAGATCATAAATATGAACCAGTTAACAAGCATCTGAATTTTTATCACGTGGTTATGTGGATGGATGCGGTAATGGTCGTAACTGTGAAAAACGGTCATAAATACATTTTTCACTTCTGTTGTAACTTTGAACAGTCACCAAACAAACAGTTGTAAATCGAGGACTACCTTTATTCTTGGACCCAGGGTTCAAGAGAATAGTTTTATGTATGTGAATATCATCTCTGTCATTTTCTAAACTATTCTTATTGACCATGAGATGCCAGGAAAAAGGCATTTTTTTGTTTGTTTCTCAGCTGCCATCTAGTAGTCATGTAGAGTTATGCAGCTGGGGAGCAGTTGCAGGATAAGCATTGAAGGGCTGGAGAAATAATCCCTTTACAGATTTTTGTATTAAATCACAGCCTGCATGCGGCTCTGATCATCCAAAAGTGTGGAAGAGGAAAAATGGGTCTATATGGTAAAGCCATATCCATTCTAGGTTGCCTTTTAAAATAGAACAGCCTTTTTATAAAGAACATTCAATGAAAAGGAGTGAGGAATCAAAGCTTCACGGAGAAGAGTGACTACAATGAAGGGAATTCCCCTTACCAATCAGGCACAAGAAACAAGTTCTTTAATTACACATACAATTATATGCATTAAAATGAGGAGGAGTTACTCAGTTTTAGGGCTTTGGGCTCTCCAGGGAAGGTAGTTAACCAACCAATCAAAATTAATTTTTAAAACAAGCAAGGGGCTCTGACAAAGGAGGATTCTGGTTTCACCTGCAGAGAAAACATTACTGCACAACCAGTGGTGGGATTATTATTTTTTTTACTACCTGTTATATAGGCATAACTTGGTGGGTGTGGCATGGCTTGGTGGGCGTGGCAGGGGAAGGATACCCAAAGTCTCCATTCCCTCCTGATCAGCTGGGACTTGAGAAGGAAAAATATAGTCAGTCAGAGGTAGTATTTACCGGTTCTCCTAACTACTCAAAATTTCAACTACCAGTTCCCCAGAACTGGTCAGAACTTGCTAAATACCACCTCTGTGCACAACCACTGACACTTGGTACTGAGTATAGGAACAGGATGGAAGGGGTAATCCACAGGAGACATGGCAGGTCAATTTTAGCCAAACAGATTGGTGCCCCCGGATTTTCCATCATGGTATATAAGTCTAAATGCTATTGCTAGCATTTATTATAAGAACCATATTAATAAAATTTTACAAGACTGAAAATATTTCTGATCTTCCTTTCTTTTTACTGTCTGAAAATTGGGGAGTGTCTGTTTTGAAATGTTTCCCAGTCAGCCCTCTTTCTGTGGGCTGAGTTATCTTTTTACACATTGGTTGTCCAGTCTG